TGATTATAATTTTGAGTACCTTCTCTTTTAGCAAAGAGATTCGGGAAGGAGGGCGAATTCTGATGCAGAAGCTACAAAAGTATAAACCTCGTATAGCAGCTTTCAATGGAAAATGTGAGAACCTCGACTTTTAAATGAATCTCTTCTGTCAATAGCTTTTTGGTTTTTTTTCTTCCCACTTATCCTATCTTCTTTTTATTTTAGGTATTTATGAAATTTTTAGTAAAGAAGTTTTTGGAATTAAAGTTAAGAACTTGGAATTTGGACTGCAGCCACACAAAGTGCCAGATACAGAAACTGTGAGTATTGAGACTAAGAAACAAAACCAGGGCACTCCATTTAAAAACTAACAAAACCTCAGGACATGCATACACTTCTGATAATGAACCAAGTGCATTCTGATGATGACCAAAGTACAAGAGATGTGAAAGGCTTTTACCTAAATAGAGAGAGGGGAATAGTGCAATTTTCGGACACATCTTTCATGCAGCTTCTTCAGACTTGCAGATTTTCTTTGGGAAACTGCGTATTATGATTTGGTTAGTGCATTCTCTGAGAACTGTCTAAAATACAAATAATACATGCATGCCTTTGTGATAACTTTCATCTGATTCCCTGTGTCCAATTCCCTGCATATTTGTATGACTGAACTTTAATACTGAACATGACCATGGTGGTGGTAGTGCCACCGTGGGGCAGAAAGAACAACAAGTCCATCACTTTTACACCCAACCACTACAGCATTACAGGAGCTGGGCATGCCCAAGCACTGCCATCAGACTGGACCTCCTTTAGCTGATTTGTAGTTTGAAGTTCAGTTGGATGCTGAAGATAAAACGAACAGTTTGATGAAAAGTGCATTAGTCACAGACATCTAGTGCTGGAAAGTATCTCAGTAGACCAGCTATTTATCATCAGAAATAGGTTTGTTTAACATGTTCTTATAAACAGTTAAGGTAAGGGCAATTACATTACCTGCCAAGGTAGCTTATTCTAAAGCTTCATTATCTTGTCAGTTCAAAAGTTTGGATTGTTTTTCTTCTTATTTCTGTCCCAAATTGTTAGTGCTGCAAGTTTAAGCTGTCTTTCTCTAAAGGTGAAGTGTTGCCTTTAGAGCCTGAAGAACTGTTGGCGATAAAGTGCTTGCTTGCTTAAGTAGCTCTTAAAGCCTTCTGCAGGAGATGTTTTTGTAAGAAAGATAAATAATCCCCCATACTGGTACTTGTTCATAAATACTGCATGGCAATAAAAGGATTGAATACGGTTTGGTTTTGCTCAGCTAACTTGATGTCTTTAGTTGAGGCTGTTGGCAGAGGCAGAGACACTTGAGTTGGCTCCAGCCATACCGACTAACTGCAGTTTCACAGCCTGGCATGTGTGCTGTGGATGCACTTGGCCAAAAAGCCAAGCTAATTAACCCGTGGTGCCTCCCCCACTGGTGTGGGCTGTTTGCATGCTGCCACATACTCCTCTGTGCACTGTCTGGCTCAGGGCTCTGCTTGCTCAGGGAGCTCTGGAGTGGGCTCCACTCTCTGGCACACACTGTAAATTGTACTTCTTGTAGCACACACTGGTACTGCTTCTCCTGCAGCACATAAATAACTGGTGAAAATGGTCCTCACTTTGGCAGCTGATAATTGGCCCCTCTCTTCAGGGCAAGACAGCTGGCTGGACAAGAAAAATTAAAGACTCCTTTTAGCCCCTTCCACGACCACCTCTGGCATCAGTTGAAGTTTGTACAAAGGGTTAAAGCAGTGGGCTTAACTGTTAAGCTGTTCTCAATGCACTAAATATTAACTCATAGCTCAATAATGCTGTTTTTCTTGCTCCTTGTCTCCAGCTCTGCTACGTTATGCCATCGTCCAGTGCAAGGTGCGCTCAGTTTCCCCGGGCACAAGATAAAGTTCATTATTACATAAAGCTGAAAGACTTAAGGGACCAACTGAAAGGCATTGCACCAAACACTGACGTGCAGGAGGTGCAGTACACATTCGACTTGCAACTTGCACAAGGTACAGTGCTTATTTTGTTAACCCTGTATTAAAATGCAGTGTAGTGTACAAGACAACTTGAAGTTTCCCAAGCAAAAAAAAGAAATAAAGAATGTAGTGAGGGAAGAGAGCAGATGTGCCATCTTTCCTAAACTCTGTTGTGTAGAATTATGGATTCCACTCTCTTTTGAGTTTAGTGTAAATTCTGTAAGGGGAGCAGGGGATTATCTTGTAGAATTTGTGGCTGTTTTTCAAGTGTTTTCTGATAAACGTGCTCTATGATAATATTTGTTCTAAATATTAATACTTGAGGTCTTTTGTTTCTGCAGAGGATGCTAAGAAGATGGCTGTCAAAGAAGAAAAATACGACCCAGGCTATGAAGCAGCGTATGGAGGAGCTTACTGTGACCGTGCGCCGTATGACAGTGAGCAGTGCAGCTTCTCCTCCAATGGAACAGGTAAAGTGCAGCGCTCGGGGCGTTCGGGCTGTGAACCATTGCTGGGGACCAAGGGCTCAGGGCTGTCAGCTGCATTTTGAAAACGGGGTGATTTTTGTTTTGTTTCAGCGGGAAGCGATCCACAGTACTGCGAGGGGTCGTCCTTCGGTATCGTTCCTAATGGACAATGGATGACACAGTCCTTTGCAGAGCAGATCCCAGAGTTCAATGCCGGCGTGACACAGGAAGAGGAGGGAAGCAGCGTGTAGGAGCTGTTCCTTCTCAGCTATGCATCCATGCTGCAGTTTTAATGCAGTGACTAAGATTGGTACCTCGGTTCTCCAACTGAAGCATTTTAATAGTATTTTATCTCCCCTAGTTATTTTACTATAGTCCAAAGTAAGTGTGTGGTAGGCTGAAATCGATGAACTAGATAATTTTAAGGAACTGTTGAAGCTTTTTTTAAAAAAGTTAGCCCTTTTTTGTATATGAGTTTTATATTTAATGTATACCATTTCTTGCAGGTTTTGACAAATTGCTTTCTCATTTGTGAAGATTTCTTTGGGGCGTTAATTTTATTTCATGAATTGTAATGTAGTAGTAACAGCAGCAGTATACTTCTTACTGATGCCTCAATATTTGGATATCTCATAATCCTTTTATATCCAGAGGGGAAAATGGGAAGTGTACCCTTAACTTATGTGAAGCGATGTTTTTAATCATGCACAGTTAAGGAAACTGTGCTTTTTAAATCTGCCTTCTACCTTCTTTAAAAGTGCAGAAAGTTGCATTCTGCAGCTGTGAGTACTGAGTATCTTTTGGGTGGGAAGAGAGAGCTCTGTCTGTTTGGTGAGTGGACCATATTCGGGATTAAGGGAGTGAAGACATCATCTCAAGTCACAACACTGGGGAGGAAAATTTGTGTCATACAGGACAGAGCCTAAATATTCTAGCTGAGCTGTCTTAAGGTAAGATATCCCTACCACTCTATCTCTTTCCCTCTGAAATTCCAATGTAGGGAAACTGGAATTCCTTGAAAAAAACCCCAAAACAAACAATAGTGGTGGTTCTTCAACTCTGTGGCATTCAAACTGTCGTTACCTTCACGTGACCTTCAGCAGTAGACAACTCCTTTGAACAGATTACATGGCAGGGAATTGAAAGGCTGCATTCTCTGTAAAAATCATGTACAGCTACATTGTTTACATCATGTACAATTAGCACAGGGTGAAAAGAGCTTGCAATTTAGCAGGTTTGAACATTCCATTCTCTTCAATCTGTAGGACCTTAGAGGGTGGTCTCCTTATTCCTCTTACAAGCAAAAAATACTGAGGTAAATATAGGACAGCTGTTCTGTGAATAAGAAAGAAGTTGGCTGTAGAAACTACAGCTCTCTTCTGAGGAACTTGCCTAAATGACACACATTTTTGGCCAGTATTAGTTACTGAGAAAGAAACACGACTCCATCCTGGTGCCTAACCCTCGTCTTCTTTCCCTCCTTTATCATGTGAGAAAGAGATGAAGTAAAAGCAATAAGCTGATCAAAACACTACAGTTTTGATGATCTTATGACAGTTGGTGCTTCACATACTTGAAAAATGGATACAAACAGTATCTCCACACTCCACACGGACCAGAGAGTCCTATAGGGCGTGATTTATCCTTTCTTCACAGCCAGCAATGGTTGTCAATTGTGTGCAACTAGTTAGTGTAGGTTCTAATCCTGCTGTAACAGCTCTCACTGAGATCACACACTGTCAACCTGTTGTGAAGCAGGCATGATGTTTACAGTTTCTTCCCAAATTATGTGGCTTAATTCTGAGCGTCTTAAATCAAGAAAGTGTGCATTATGATTCTGATTGTGTTTATTAGCTTCAGCATAAAGCTATTCTGTATATTGTCAAAAGGCATAGGACTTGTCTGTTATTTAAAGTGTACTGTATCATGTATTGCTGTTTACATGGGTGTTTTCTTGCAGGTGCTCAAAGTATCTTGCATCAGGGATTTGTTACAATTCAATTATTTAATTTTCAACAAAATTGGAAGCATGGAATTAGCACTGCTGAGTATGTAGCACAGTAGGATGTAACTCCTGAAAGGCTATCCTCTTTGAGTGGAAGGGAAAGGTGTCTTCTTTAAAGGAGTCACAGGGTATGAAATATAGTTAAATGTACAATGACCGTTTCACTAAATACTGCAATTCTATGTGTCCTCCCTCAGAACTGGTGCTCTTTTTGTTACAGTAGTCCAGAAGTTCTTAATCTGTCTTAAATCTATCCATGTTTCACAATAAAATCAGGAATTGTACTGCTGTGTCTCAGGATGTACTTTTACATGTTGCTAGCAGGGGTCTAAGTGCACTACAGGATGTGTCATACACAGAAACACCCCAAAACAGAGTCACCACTCAACAAAACTCCACTCAGTAACAGTTCAGGCTCTTCAATGTGGGCCAGACAACTAAAGACACCTTGTGTGTAATACTACAGCTGTCTGCTGTGTAGGTCTTTCTACCAGAAGATATTTGAGTCTTATTTGTAAAGACCTTAAATTAAGTACACTGTCTGGCACTGTCAAGTAAACCTGGTTCCTCACCTTACGTGAAAGTCAGGATAATCTGAACTGTGTAATGGTCACTCCAGCCTCCCTCTCCAGCTCCAAGCAAACAAAAGTGAGGGTCAGTTATTCATAAATTTAACAAATATTTGGTTTCTAAAATCAGTTAATCATATGACTCTTATGCTGCATCTCAAACTATTACATGCATCCAATACACTACATTTTGCAGTATTTAAGTTGTTTCAGTATCAGCTATCAGGACGAGTTAATTTGAACTTCCCTGAAGGGTCAGGAATAAACCAGTTTTCCCAGAGATCAGTGTGGACACTGGGATAGTCCCAAGGTTTGTATCTCCCATTCCAGTGAAGTAGTTTAGCTTCTTGAAGAAATTGCTCTGAGTAACGGGCATCAGGACTCCAACCTGCATGGGTAGATTGAAAAAAAATTTTTAAAAAAACCCAGGTGTTAATAAAGGAAAACACAGTAGAGTGAGTTAAATTCAGGTGATTCTTTTTCAGAAGTCTTATTAGTATGGTTTCATCAGATAGTTTTATGATAGAGAAGCTTTTTTTTTTAGCTTGATGCCTCGATGCTGCATCAGCAAAAAAATTTCAGCAAGTTTCTTCTCTCAACACTTTTATCATCTTGGCATAGCTGGGATTAAAAACCAAATAAAATCTATTCATTTTACTACACCAGCTAAGACAAAATGTTTTTCCTAGGATAACTCACTCCCAAGTGAAAGGTAACTGCATCCTCCAGAATGCTGACAACAAATGCTGCCCAGCCTCCCATATTCTTCCACTGCTCCTAGAAAAAACTCTGATTTTTTTTCAGTCTCTGACTATATTCAGATCTTTCACATATTCTTTCATAGCTGATGGCAGTGTAGGTTAACTGGTCTTTAAACATGTAACTTTGCCCTTGGTATTTGGATCTTTTTCCTTTTTTCATCCAATTTCATCACTATTAAGGGTTTGGGTTTTTTGCAGGGATGCAACTATGTTGTTTGCTTGACCCGTTAGGATACTTGCATCTGACTCCCACATTCTGCCCTGCCCTGAAGAAAGCAGGACTCATGAGCCTTGGGGGAAGTGGGGATTATGTGCTGTGGATCTGAGGCAAAAAGTAATGCTTGATGTTAAGTAATGTAAGGTTCTTCATTGGGATCTTACAAACTGCTCCCTTTAGTTCCAACTTGCAAACAGAAGTTAAACTTACCAAGATGCCTTATGTGCCACATAGGATTAATAGAGGAATACTTTCCATGAAATACAATCAGCATTGGAGAGGTTGCCACGCCTCCCCCAAGGGTGCTGCTGTAGAGGTTTTCCCTGCAAAAGGAAAAATAAAAGTACGTTCAAAACCTCAAAGAGTCTTTAGCATAAAAGGCAGAAGATTAAAAGTAAGTATTCTTATATAAATAAAAATTCAAAATCATTTTGAACAGGCCAGTTTTCAGCAGACTCCTTCCTTATGCTATTAATTGATTGCATTTGCAACTCCAATCCCATGGAGTAAATTGTTGCTACCAAGAAAAAATGGGAGTCACACCCACCATGAAGCCAGTTTCTTCTATACACAGCCTGTAGTCCTCAATAATAACAAAGTTAACTGTAGTAAAAAAAGCTATTAAAGAAATCAAACATAATTTAGCCTGGTCTCTTAAGAAAATGCACATATTTCCATATTTTTCATTCCCTTTCTTTCCCTTTTCCCCTCCCCCAGGTTTTAGACCATAAATAAACCTCAGGATGGATTTTGTCAAAGCCTAGTTAGCATAAATTGTTATCTCAAGAAAATTAGTTTCCTGTGAATTTTGTGGTAAATCCAGGGTTAGATCCAGCCTAATCATGGAAAGGGGAGGCATTAGGAGCCAGGTATCTGTCCACATGTGCCGATGGCCCTGCTGACCAGCTGGCTTATGGGCAAAGCCACCCCACCTATGGGACACTGTGCCACCCACCTAGGCCAGTGGGGAGGAAACCTGGGAAGCACAGAGAGATGCTGAAAGGCCACAGAACAAAAAAATCATAACCTCCCCTCAAAAGTGAGCTTCAATTGATAAGCAATTTTTTTTCACTGCCATTTCAAAATCCAGCTAAAAGGAGTATGATTGTTTCACTGTGTAACGACTTATTCATGGTCAATAACAAAAAGATATCTTTCATGTCACTTTTCCTTCATCTAGAGAAAAGGAAGTCTTTTCTACTGTTTTTTGGTTTTTTTTTTTAAAGATGGTGTCCAATTACAGTTTGGCTGATGCTACAATAGGAGAGTCCCCATGCAAACAAGGAAAGATTTCTCCTTCTTTCAGCCTCAGGAAGGGAAGATCATTAAGTGGCTTGATCCCAAGTGAAGTTGGTCACCCAAAATGAGAACCACATGTTCTCAGTGTTCCGCAGGATTATGTGTGGTTTGTCATTAAACACAAGACTGAAATTCCAGGTGGTCATTTCCTGGTGCAAAATTGGTCAGATTTAAACAGATGGAAATGCTGGAACAGTAGTTAAAAGAAAGACTGACTGGAGTTAAAAAAAACTTTTAAGAGCTTTTAAACAGAAAATAAAACTGTAAACCAAGTCTGGAAAGTGCAAAGCTAGATCTCTACACGTACTCTACATTTCTTTGCATCCACTTTTCCAACTGCTTCGTAATCCGCTGATGTTTCCATTCAGTCATGTTAGCAACAATTACTCCAGGATTAAAGGAGCAGGTGCTGGGGCTGATGCCAAGATCTCTGATAGCTTGCTTTCTGTAGTCCAGGAATCCCATGTACGTGTTCTAAGAAATAAAAAAAGTATGTTTATTCCCTATGAATCTTTAAAGATGTGTACATCCACCTCTCTGTCACTGAGAGGGAGACTAAACATGCACTCCCAAAGCTGGATTTCTAGATAGTGGTTATGTGTCATGATTTCCATATGACACAAGGCTGAAAGGCAGCATACTTCCAGACACTAAATTACTTTTTCCACAGTATGGTACAGTGGAAGTTCTATAGGGCTCTTCCCTCACCACATCTTTGTTTTTCAGAAGCTCACACTAAATATGTAGCATCACACTTGTACAGCTGTAATAGTAGAGGGATGCACTGACAGTTCTGGGGAACTCAGCCCAGGAATTAGCCTTTAAATTGCTTTCCTAGGTTTCCTTCCTAATGTGACTAATACAAATATCACATATTCTGTCTTCATTAGATGTTCTATAAATGCTCATAGTCTACTGATAGCAAAATACCAAAAGTAATTTAGTAGAATCCAAAGAACAAGAGATATTTAAATTAATACAGGAAACAACTCTGCATAGCACTACAGAGGTACTCCAAGAAGTTCTTAATTACCAGTAAAATTATTACAAAACTAAATATCTATATATATAACTTTCACTTTGGGGAACACATATGAAATCATCTTACACTTATGGGTAAAAAAAATTCATTATTAGAATTGCAGAATGGCATCTTACCTGCATCCCTACACTTCGAATCATTTCATGTGTAGAAGGCAGATCACAATCATCTGAAAAAGCTGCAGCATGTCCAGGAGCCAGCTTAGTATCATAGAGCTCCTGGATGTCACCTGATTACAGAAGGGTCAAAAGCATAAGACAACATCTATTGCAGTGCTACAGAGTTGATAGGATAACATCTGTTCTCATATATGTTACTTATAAACACACCAGTTTTCAGGGATAGCCCAGATATTGATGAAGGCTGAATTTTATAATATGGGACAATTCTCACATTTAAGTCCTGTACCTCTAAGGTCTAGCTTTAAATATTATCACTGGTATTCCATACTTTCATATTCTGGTTTGAATGTCCAAAATCACCTACAGCAGAAGCTGATTACACTGTTAAGAAGCCTGGTTACAAACTTCTGCAATCACAGAGCTTGTCTTTGGAGAGGGAGAGCACAGGCAGATTTTCTGATCCTCTTCAAGTCCCAGGAAGGCACCACTTCAATCTCCTTCACAGATCATGTTTTTCCTGGTATTTTTGCACTTATACCTCCTTGTAAGATAACTGGGTTCTCAGCAATGGCTAGTAGAAATGTGCCTGTCACTCTTGACCATCCCTGCTGGCTTCACAGACCATCCAGCTCCTTCCTGCTGGAGGGGAATAAAGTAATGCCTGGCACCTCCCCCATCACCCGACTGGCAGGTACCCACAATGTGCCAGAACAGTTTCAGGGCAGGTGGGAAGCACAGCACTGCTACAGCAATCGAGTGAGCCTGCATCCAAACCCTACAGACACCAGCTCTGCTGCTGGGCAGGGGCTGGTCACTGCTAAGATGAATTATCTTGGAAGGCCACATATGTCCCAGTAGCCTGAGATGAGCTCATTAAAAGTAACCAAAAACATTCCACATACTACCGACACTGGAACTAGTATTTCTGAAATAAACAGAGATTATGTATTTGTTTGAACTCACCAGGTGGTTGGAAACTCATGTCCCACCAAAAATAGAATTTGAATTAGTAGGACACTTAATTGTTGAAGATCAATATGCCTTGCTAAGCGTTTTCTCATGATTCTAAACAGCTGCTGCTTTTCTCTTGAGAAGCAAAAACAAGTAAAAAAAAAAAAAATCAAAAGCAAAGAATTCTGGGCTGACACCCCAAGTCCAATATGTTTCATTCTTACTGCTCTGCTGAAAGCAACAAGCAACAAATGAATGATCCCAAAGTTCAGCCCCATTCTCTGCCTCTCCCATGAGAAGTCTCATTCACTCCCATTGCAGAGACATCTGACAGAGAGCACAGTCTCAAATTACAGCTAAGATACAGGGAGTAGCTGCCTGGACAGGCTCTCTTCCTCCACCTCACTCCCACATGTCCATCTTTATTCCCCTCTTGTGGGCCCTAAAATTGCGTGGCCCGAGAGTGAACAAAACAGGCTTGCTGAAACAAAGGGGAGAAAAAGACTTAAAAAAAAAAAAAAAAAAAAAAAAAAAAAGAGTTTGATTTCTTCTTTTTTTATTTTTTGTACTGCTAGTTTTCTGCCAGGTCAACCCGCTGAATCAGATTCTTCTGCAGCTGCACAACTGCAGATACGACATAAGCAACAGGATCTGCCGGGGGACAGGAGAGGCCACTTGGTCAGCAGCAGCCAACCATGAGCTGTAATGAGAAACTGCACCCTTATCCTGCAGCTCCACAAACACCATCAGCTGACATAAACTGACACCTCTAGTGAAAGAGAAAGCCCTACCTCCCCTCCTCCCCCAGCCAGGCTGCCTTGACCGCAACAAGGTGTTAATTAAGGCCAAAAGTAATCGCGTTTCTGGTGAACCCCTGTGCGGGTACAGGGTGGGGCACAGGGGAAGTGGTGGGCTCAGTTTGAACCTATGGAGTCTAAATGAAGACTTGCAGAACCTTTCAAAGAGTTAAATATTGCTGTTGCCCATTGATAACAGAAGAACAAAACTAAGAAACAGAGGTAGTTCACAGGAAGCACCCATGTTGAAGAACAGTGATACAAAGTCTATAGCAAATTAAAGCAAGAAAGGCAGAGCGGATTAGTTGTTTTTTATAAAGCAACAAATAGCGACACCTTTAAGTGCAGATGTTCTGAAATCTGCCTCTCAAGAGACAAAATTAGAAAAAAAGGTGTAGGAAAGCAGTGGAGAATTATACTTTCGTCATATGTAAATTCAGTGGTCTTAATGCTCTTACAGCAAAGACTAATTTAGGCCAAAAAATTCATTGTAGTTATACTCAGTCCTTTCCAAAAAAATTTTTATTGGAATATTCCTTCAACATTTAACAAGAACAGCTAAAATGGTTTTGTTGCCCTTGTGGCCTGGCTAGGATAGATAGAGTTCATTTTCTTCACAGCAGCTCATATGGTGCTGAGGTTTAGATTTTTAGCACACTCATGTTCTGGCTTTTGCTGAGCAGCGGTTGCACAGCATCAAGGCCTTCCCTGTTCCTCCCAGTGAATAGATTGGTGGGTGCACAAGAGGCCAGGAGGGGACACAGCTGGGCAGATGATCTGAACTGCCTTAAGAGCTATTCCGTGCCACATAATGTCATGCTCAGCAAGAAAAGGGGAAAGAGGGGGTCTAGGGTGGGTAAAGAGAGATGAGGTGTAGGTAGCCAGCTCGTGCTTGGGAACTGGCTGGGCATGGACCTGCCCATCTAAGGGGTTTAGTTTTCTTCTATTCTCTCTTATTCCACTTATCCTTTGCTTATTAAACAATTATTTGTTTGATTGTTTTCTCTTGACTCTTTTCTCTTTCTCCATCCCACTGGGGGTGGGGGGCAAATGAGTGAGCAGCTGGTGGTGCTCAGCTGCCCACCAGGGTTAAAGCACAACACCCTGATTAAAAACTGCTATAAAATAACAAGAAAACATGATAAAACAGGGAGAACAACAATTCTAATCAGAAAAAAAAAAAAAAAAACTACTGGGAAACAGAACATAAAAACCCCACTGTAAATACTTTATAAAAACTTTTAACAATACACTTTAAAAAATTAGTTGTTCTTCTAATTAGATTAATGATAAGGAAAAAAAATTTTTTTCAGGATTGGAATATCTAACTGCTCCCATTTGTTTAGGAACTCTGAGATCTTTGATCATGACTCTGCAAATTGCTTTGGATTCTGAAGATGCTCAAATCATTTTGAGTGTTTGGAATTTCAATCCTCTTATTTGAGTAAACTCCTTTTGCTCTCAAGAACAGCAGTTCTGGATAAGGAATTGGTAGCATTTGGGGCAATTGAAATATTAGCAGGAAATGCATGTCATGTACTTAATAAATATCGCAGCACCTGAGTGAAATCCATTGTATCTTTCAGGAATTGTCAGAATCAATTGCAATTAAACCTTCATAAAATTTTGATCACAATTATTCAAAACATATGCAGATAAGGTCTTCCACAGACTTTCATTTAGATATATAGATTATTTGTAGTTCCCCTAAGATCAATACTCCCAGCAGCTGCCTTAGTTTCCATTATATCTCATCTTTCCAAATGACTGTAAAAGCTGCAATAACTTTAATTTTAATTCTGCTAGAAACTGCTTTTTAGATGACAACTTACCTTGAACAATAACATCATCATCCAAATATATTACTTTCTCATGTTTCTGGATAAGCAAAGGAAGATAAAATCGAACGAAGTTCAGCTATTAAACAGGAAAAAAAGAAGGTAAAGACTAAATGGTAAAGCTGTTTAATGACGTAGTCTCACACTTCTGTCTCTATTAACAACCAGTTTTAATATTTCTTAACTGAGCACTAGCCAGTGATCATTTGCTTCCTTCCCCCCAGCTTTACTAGTATCCAGAATCCATTACTATTATTATTATTATCATAGTTATCATTATTATCAATCCATATTTATTTGCCATGGCCCAAAACAAACAGCCCAAAACAGTTGTTTCTTCACACAATCACAGAATCCTTTAGCTTTCTGCTATTTTCAGCTCAAGGGATTTTCTGATCTAGGTGTTATCTGTTTAACTACGAACTTCAGTTCTAACTGAATCCCTCTACATTTGTACATCCACAGGACCTTTCAGCAAAGAATTCTAGAGACGTAGTACTCATTGCATGAAAAGTGTGCAACATCTCTTGTTTGTGCTGACTGTGACTCCAGTTAACTTAATCTTATGGCCGCTAGTTCTTACATGGGAAGAGAGTGAGCAACCATCCCCCACTCAGCCCTTCACACCACTCCATTCTCTAGACTGCTACTGTTTTCATGCTAATAAAAGTCCAGCTATTTCCAGACTGAACAGTTTTAACCCGCTGATTCCCTGTATGAAATCTTTTCCATGTATTAGAAATGTCAAAAGCTCAGAGCAGGGCAGCATGAACAAACATTCCGGACAGACCCAAACATTTTCTGATGGTGCTACATCTATTTCAGTTAAGGGGACAAAGACTGCACATAGTACTTAAGGATGAGAGAAAACTATGGATTTGCACTGTGTCAAACTGATGTTCTCTACTTTGATCCTTACTCTTTTCCTAATATTTTTTAACATCTAATTTGCCTTTTGTGACAGCCAGTAATTTAGATTAGTCATTAGACTCTGAATTAACCCTGGACACAAGCAGAAGGCAACCAACTCAGCATCATGGAGGCACAGTGAACACTATCACATCTACCCTCCAATAAATAGTGTATATACTGTCAAAGATACAACACATTCAATTTACCAAATTTATGCCATCATATAATAAGGTCCCAGCAAGACAGACAAGTTGCAAGGAGCTTTTAATAGGGCATTTCTCCTTCTTAAGTCAGGGTGTAGCATTTGGATCTGATTTGCCTTCTCTGACTTACTCCCTCACATGTAATAGAACAGATCCAGGACATTTTAATGCCTGTAATAGGTGAAGAAAACCCAAAATTTCTTATGTGGTGTTCATTTACTCACAGGCTGCAGTAGCTCAGGACGCGATGCATCTTGTCTGATTTTTCCTTTTAGTACCATAGGGTTGAATTCCACAACCTTAAATTTTATTTCTTTCAGTTTAGAATTTTCAATCCATTTTCTGTGATTAAAAAAGAAGTGGTAGAAGAAATACTGAGTGTGTGGCAAGTACTTCCACTACGAAATTCACAGACTCTTAGGAAAATAAGAAGGCTTGAAAGCTCACTCATCTATTCTATCCCAACACAGAATCACTTACGTCTACAGCCACTGCACACAGATATTTGTTTAAAACAAAACACAAAAAACCCACACAAAACCCCCAACAAAACACACACCCAACAGCACTGTCAAAAGAGTTCATATGTTGCCCAAACAACCCATCTTTCACCATCACTAGCAGTAAGTGCTATTTTTCTAAGATTTCTTGCTATAATTAAAGATCATTATTTCTTATCTGCCATGCTTTTAAAGTAGAGGTTAGTTTTCTCCCTTTTACAGTTTTACATCCTTCCAGATGACTGCCACATCACCTCCTAATTATAATTACTCTAGACTAATATTTTCATTATTTTGTCAGACTTCTTATCACAACTATTTATTTTCTCCTCTGACCTCTCTTCTAAACCCTTCCTGAAGGCACCTTAAACTAACCATGCTTTTTTGATGCCTTAATAATGTCTGCAAGATTGAAAAAAGTTTCCTCACATCTCCTCTGGTTGACATATATGTCAACACGTATATCCACACATGCATGCCTTCTGTTTTTTGAATCAGTGTGGTCAGTTATCAGTCATAATTCTGCAGCTTTCCAAATGAGTGTTACTGAACCTCTGCTTCACTCTGAGCCAATACAATCAGCTATTCCCACCACCATTACCTTGTCATTCCCTCTGCTGATTCTAATCATACTTTACAGTTAATTTTTCCAGTTCATCATGAATAATTTGTTTTCAGCTCTTGTCCTCAATAAATTTACTGCTTCATGCCAACTGCAGATTCATAAAGAACATTCTCTGCTCTGTTATCTAGGTTGCTGATGAATTAAATGTGAAAAGCTCCCTGTGGGACCCCACTCATTACATTTTTTCAGTTTGACACCAACTGTAGCACACAGGCAGTAGCCAGAAGTGAGGCCTGCTAAGAAATCTGCTTTAGTTTTGATTCACACCTTCCTCCTCTTTAAGACAATGTTTGCACATTTTAACACCGAAACATGCTTTCCTTACAAGCCTTTGGGGACTCTTTTTATAACCTTTCATTCATCCTCTTAGATGAAGTTAGTTTTAAACAGTTCTGAAGCTTAAGACAGATGAGAGGTAAGTGCAGTGCCACAATGTGGGATTGTGATGAGTAGGAAGGAATGTGTAAGCTTACTAAAGACCCTTCTGCACCCTATCTACAAAAAACGGAGAAGGACAGGTCTGGGCATGGTATAGCTATTTCACAACCTTTTACATCAGTCAGTGGCTTCCTACATGTACAGAATCCTGAGGGTTGCTTTCAATAGCACTACTTAAATAAAAGGGAGAAACGTTTCCCTGAAAGGTCCTCCAAAGTCTATCCCTGTGCTAGGGAGAACAACCACCTGGTCCTAACTTGAGCATGAACCAAAGAAAGGCTGGTATATACCGAATATGTGGGATGGTTGTCTTCAGCCCAACTATGTAGAACAAAACACTGGCCTCTGTGTTGCTGTGGATGCTACTGATGGCTGCTACAGCTGCACCCATCCTGCCCGCAGCAGCGCAGATCACCACTGGGATTTCTTCTTCCGTTTCCTCAGGACTCTCCAAATCAACTACAAGAAACAAATCCGTTTTACGTCAGACCTGGGTCCCAGGAATGAATAAGCACTTCCATGAGCAGTGGAATCATTTCACCATCACCCCATTTCCTTACCACATTCTATACAAATCCCCATCTGGCAAGGCACACAGCATGAGCTGTCACTAGTCCAGAACTGCATGCGGGTTGACTGGACTGTTGGATGCCTCCAAACAGAATATATAAGAGAGTTCTCAGCATCTTCTTCTCAGCAGGGACACAGTTCAGCCTGTCCTTCATGTCGCTGCTTATTCATATGAAACCTGAAGAGGTTTGAATACCTTTGAGACTTCTACTTCTCAGTTATATCTAGTACAAATTGAACAATAGGTTCCAAAATTATGAAAGGAAATAAGTGAGTCAAAAAGAGAGCAATTGCATGACCTCCACTTCTTTGGGAAGTTGGCTTAAAAGGAACAGTGCAAAAGTTTGTGCCAGCAGGAAGCTGCTAATGATAAAAGGGAAAAAGCCTCTAAATAATACTGAATCAGGTCACATTACTGACAAGGAAGACTTTTATCCCTAGCACTGGTTAACTTACAGAACTAAAATGGATATATTTATATTGGTTAAAACATAACCATTTAAGTCATAACAACCCCAACCAAAATATACTGAAAATAATTGGTTTATACCCAGAAAGAGTTGGGTTTTTTTAGGAACAGTGACTAAGCTATTTGTATTAACATTTAGTACTAGCTCAGCCATATCAACCCTATCAGGCTTGTGTCAATATACAGATTTCAGCTAAACTTCTGCTGAAAATGTCAAGATTTGATGGTCTATATGAAATCAATAAGCAGGCCAAGAACATTCCCAAAGAGGCAAGTCGTGATCGAAGTTTATTACGAGCTGACAGCTCTAATCTGTTCAGCACAAATAAGGATATACTCCACCTTCCATCTACATCTGTGACATCTGGATAAAAACGTGATTCAGAATGACAACTTTTAGTCATTACTACCAATCTCTTACTATTTTATCCAAGTAATTCAGAAGCAAGAAATTTTGCATCCCAGACCATATGGAATGGTGTGAGTAGCTCAGCTACTGCAGGACAAACAGGATTCAGTAAGATGAAAAGTGCTGCTCAGATCAAGACATCAGGAGTGTAAAATGAAACAGCAGTGCAAGTCACTTACCTGTTTCATTTTTTAATGCCGATGGCACTTGGTGAACTTTGTTATACAGAATGGCACACACAGTTAAGACAAGAAGTAACAGTAAGATCTGGTTAACTGAAACAAAAGGGAGAATGTATCAACAACTAGTATAAAAGTATAACACAATTCCCAGTTATCTGTTTAAAAAAAAAAATCCAATTTACAACCAGTACATATGATAACCTGTATTTTATGGGTTTATCAAATTCTTCTTTCTCATGTTTTTTGATCAAGCTAAAAATTTTATGTTAAAAACATAACTCTTTCCTGCTACAATAATTTCCATCTATCTCATTTTCATGGTTAATTTGTTCACTAAATCATAAGACTCACAATATATATGGGTTATCCATACTAGGAAATTCATATGTTTCTGAATTTTACCAGGAGTTTGGAACCTTTTTTCCTACCTAATTTGTTGTCTGCTTATTCTCACAGGACATCTTGAGTTAATTATATTTAGCTAGCCCTTTCTTTCTTTCATGCTTTCCTGATGAAACCTCATGCACAGGAGAATTTCTTTTCTCTGTTTCAGATCTTCAAGGTGTATTTGAGCAGAACTCAAAAAATTCTAGAAAAACAAACCCAGCATGCTACTGAAACCAGGTGTGTTTCAAAATATTTGAAAATGCGTATTTTGACAGGGTAATTTTAATTAGTAAAATCAAAACAAGGCATGCAATAGCAAAGACCAGACTGTGTATTCTGATTTACAGTTCCCACAAGTCTTGTACAAGATAAAGTCATTCAACACAAACCAACCATGTGCAGGGACCAGAAGAGTTCACAGAGTACAGCGGGGGAGGAATGCATTGCCATCAACAGTTACTTTGATGATGCAACTTCTTTGTTTCAGACAACTTTGTTACTTTTGCACTACCATAAAAGGTATTTAAGATGTACAAAAGAGCAAAGGGAGCAGGACTTTGAAGTCTTTTAATCAAAAGGGCCAACTGGCCACAGCTGGGCATGAGAATTCACTGAAATTGGTAAGCATATGCCACCAAACCTGCACTAATTTAAACCAGCTGAGGAAAAAGCCCACTGACAGCAGAGAAATTTTGGGTGCACAATCGAAGGCAAACAACAGCCCGCTTTCAGTCACTGACCTGGACAGCTGATGAGAACCCCAAACTTCTTGAGGGGACACACCTCAATTTTGAGTATGAACAGCATTAATGTGCAGAGTTTATTAAAAAACAGTCAGGTTCAGTGCTCTAGGCACAACCCACATGGAACCAGCAGCTACCTGCACTACTGAAATTTCAGAATCTCCAGTCTCATGCATGCAGTAATTTTAAATTGATGGGATGTATCCTTGTACTTATCCCACTTGGTTAACAGGAAAAGACTTATTTGTACTTAGTTAAGTACAATTTAGGAAAACTAGAACTATAAATTTGCATGCAACTGTGAGGACAGTTGCATGAGAAATTGTATTTGACATTTCTGTGCTTTTTAAAAAATATACGTTATAAATGTTTTTAATCTCTCTTACTTTTCTTTAAAAGAGCCATGTGTCCGGTTGGATGAGAACTGTGATCTGTGGTAAAATAAAACAAACAACAACAACAACAACAAAAGTTAAAAGAGGAAAAAAAAAAAAAAAAGAGAAAAATCATTCATGCCAGAAGTGAATACTAGTTAGTTATTTCAGGAACAAGGTTTTGAATTATCCAACTTTACTGCTGGACTGGTAAAAGTAAAACTGCATTTGATCTCTGTAAATACGTTGCTTTTTTTAAACAAATAACTAGTATTCTGGGCTAGAAATACTTCATATTTTAATTTAAGAACTAGCAGGTTGTAAAAAACATTTTAACAAATTCCATCTGATCACCTACATCAGCAATAACTAATATTTTTAATGCAGTTTAAAATAATGAGCAAAGAAGCATTAAATTACCCACTGATGGAATTTATAAATACATTTATCTCTGATTTCACCTAAAACATAGTAACCGTCACAAATACTGATCTCTTGCTGGAGTATGCTCACAAACATACAGGAATCTTATCTTGGAGTAGTGTCTTTCAGACTTGCAGAAAATTTCAGAGCAATAATAAAAATATTTGCTAGGAGCAGTATCCTTCCACAAACAGTAAGGAGGGAGTATGTGTAATGTACCCTAAAACTGTACTTCTAAGCCAGGCCCAAGAGTAGCCATGATCTTATGCCTGAGAGGACAGAACATAAACCCTAAAATACAGGATTATGGGAAATACAACATTCGTTTGAATTCTGGACCCAAAACTAATGTTTGTGAAAAAAAAAAAAAAAAACAACAACCAAACCACAAACCCAAGATAACAACAAAAAACAACAGTAAAAAGCAGCACCAGATGCTGGGGGGGAGGGAACAACACAACTGTGTGATCTAACCTTTATACTGTGTAGCTGGATATAGGACAGAAAGCAATTTTTCCAGTTACCACGCTTGCAATATAGGGACACATTACAGCGCAGATAAGGATAAATGGGGGTTTCTATGCCCACATAAAAATGAAATTCAGTCCAGCTCCTTGAGAAGACAGACAGAACAGCAGGAATTTTTGAAACCTGAGTCACAAAACTGACCACCTCTCATTGGTTAATGCTCAAGTTCAGGCAGCATCCTAAATTAGTCTCTACTTTGACCAACAAGTTAAATGGCAACAAAAATATGAAAAAAAATTGAAGATGTGGCTTTGTTTGCAAACTAATTATGTAGTTAGGTCCCAATAGAAGACTAATTTGCAGTGAGAAAGGAGTAATTCTGGAATTTTTTTTTCACATCTGCACTACTTATCTACATTCCAGCAGACCACTCTCTTCATGTGGCATTAATTTACACAGAGGAAATCGAGTTTATCTGTCGGAAAAAACACCACAGCTGAAAAAGCCCTTCTCTCACGCATTACACACAAGTATCATCTTCATATGCTCTTAAAAACTTTACTCATTTAGGTAAGCAGAGAGGCAACAGAACTCTACACTCTTGGAGTAACTTTTTAATCCCATTTAGCTGATCACAACCTCTCACTGATTTCCACAGAGCTGATCGCTATTTTTGAATTAGTATCTGTAACAATAGTCACAAACAGTCCCAATGATCACTGCAAGAGGAAAGTTGCATAGCTACAGCTTCATAATACCCTCAGAAATTATTAAACCCACACCAACTGAACCATGTTTTAAGCTTTAAAATCCAAACTCAGACAGACTCTCAAACAAGTTTGAGTTCTAGGACTACATCATTCCTATGCCTCAGAAACACCAACTGATTACCTGCTGAGTTTTAAGGAAAGAGAGGTATATTTGCTCCCCTGCAAATATTTACTGATTTTTCCTGCCTGCAGACATTATTTCCTGGAACCTGGCAGTCCCTAACTCAGCTGCCAAATCCCGTAACAAAACGAGGGGCTGCAGAAGGGAAAGCTCAGAAACAGTGACATTACTGCTCAGATATTTCCTGCTTAATTAGTCTTTTTACCTCTTCAAAGCAGCACAGTATTCGGGACTCCTCTCTCTTGAAGCGCTGAGGAGCTATTTACTTGGATCCTAGATAGCCCACAGCTGTGAGCACTCTTGCCAAAGCCTCCTTGACCACCATCCTCCTTTGAAGTCACCCGCACAAGGGCCTTGCAGGGCACAGAAACAGTTTTACGATTCAATTCCTTTTTCAGACTCTTCAAAGTTTACTTTGGAGTTGTGCTGGTTTTCTTTTCTTTCTCTGCTGCTGAGGAATAGCACAGAGTCCAGACGCCACACTGGAGGAATGAGAGCCCATAAACCACTTCCAGATGTGCAGAGCGATGATGCAGCCCCAGATTTGGCAAACTTGCCTCAGAGCTTCAGCTAGCAGATTGCAAACAAATCCCATAAGACAAAAAGTCTTAAAGGGGTGGGGGAAAGAGAAGGAAGCAAACCCTTCCAGAAGTTACTTCCAACAGTCTAGCTGCAAGTTAGGTTTCTAGTCATTATTTATAGTAAATGTGAACAGATAACCAGTGTGCAAGAGCCAAAATACAACATGCCAAAGTCAAACTGAAAGCCAAAGTTTTTCCAGTGTCTGTTGGCAGAGTTCTTGCAAGTCAAAAGCTAAGGGAAACCTGCAAAATTCAACTCTGAACATGCATTTTGACTTGAATCATCTCATTTCCAAATCTTTCAGCATTTAATCCACGGGTTTGGTTTAGAGTCAAAAGGATCTTAGATCAAGGTTAGCAGCACATGTTGATATCCTGCCTCCTAAGCTCTTCTGGAATGCTTTTGCTGTTTTATTTCTACAGCACTTCTTTTATTCACATTCTCTCCCTTCCTTCTAGGAATGACCCTTCCATATGATAAAATGTTGTTTTGTTACAAGATGTTCATGAATACTAAAAGGAATAATAATAATCACCTTCAACACTAAACTATTGTTCATATTTTTAGCACGAGGTAGTGAAGGTTTTAAAAATCTTACACATTTTATATAAAGATTGCTGTTCCATTTGCAGGAATTGAAAATATGGGGTTTCAACAGTATGTCTCAAACATGCCCAAACTGTGTCTGATTTTCTACAGAAATCCATCTTTTGCAGAGCTGCTTGAAGGAAAAATAAATGAAGAGTTAAACATATAGTTATGTGCTTTGTGCAGATGGCCACAACTATTAGTACCTTTTCCATACTCTGGTAATTAAGCTGTATCAAGCTTATGTTTTTCAAAATCCACTTGTTTTTTCACCTCCCTTCCATTTCTATGTGAATCTGAACAGATCTAAGCAGCGCAGAGCCGTGAGCCTGCAGAACTGGGATCAGATCCTTCACCTGACAGCAACCCCTGGATCACTGGCAACACAGTAGCACCTTCACTGAATCACAGAATCAATTAGATTGGAAAAGACCTCTGAGATCATCGAATCCAACCCGTGACCGAACACCACCGTGTCGACTAGACCATGGCACCGAGTGCCACCTCCAGGCTCTCCTTAAACACCTCCAGGGACCACGACTCCACCACCCCCCTGGGCAGCCCTTTCTAAGTCTAATCACCCTTTCTGCGAAGAAATTCCTCCTACTGTCCAGCCTAAACCTCCCCTGGCACAGTTTTAAGACTATACCTGGTATGTTAGAGAATACTGACAGCGCTCAATTATACATCTCGGCATAGCAATTTACCGTGTAGAGCTCGGTAAGGAGGCTATTTGTACCAGATACACCTTCTTTGGATTTTCCCTCAGCCTCACGCGTTTATATTCTCACACAACACCCTGCTCTCACAGGAAAGAGCAGCTTCTCTCCTGCAGAACGAGACCTTCGGATTCGCTCACATCGCCCGCCGTCAACTGTAGAATCGAAACCTTGGTTTCTAATCTCAACCCTCAGCGCTTAAACAGCAGCTCATCCCTTTTCTCACATGAACACCACCTCGCAAGCAGCAGCATTACGTCGCCAGTTAAAAAAAAAAAAAAAAAAAAAAAAAAAAGAATCTGCTACACGTTTCTGGGGGCTCAGAGGCAGAGCCGGGCGCTCGGGGCTGAAGGGCACACGCCACACCCGCGGTGCCCCGGGTGCGCTGCAGGCAGGGAGCGCGACCGCAAGGCTCCCGCTACAGCGCCGCCGAGCCCGGCAGGTCCGCAGGGGCAGGGGGGCCGTGCCCACAGAGGGCTGCGGCGGAGGCGGCCGCGGGGCGGGACACGGGCGGGCCGCGGACCCGCCGCCCTCACGTCAGCGCCCCCCCTTCCCCGCGGGCTGCCCCGGCCGCGCGGTGCGTTGTGGGAGCGGCGCTGAGATGGCGGCGGCCGCCGCCGGGCTGAGCTGGAGGCGGGTGTCCTCCTCCACGGGGCCGGTGCCGCGCTCCCGCCACGGCCACCGCGCGGTCGCCATCCGAGAGCTGCTCATCATCTTCGGCGGCGGCAACGAGGGCATCGCCGACGAGCTGCACGTCTACAACACGGGTGCGCGGGGCGGGGCCGGGCGGCGGGGCGGGCGGGGCGGGGGGGGGAGGCGGTGGCGGCGGCGGCGGGGCTGTCCCGGCTGTCCCGTCCCGGCTGTCCCGGCTCCGGCCGCCGGTGGCACCGAGCCCCTCACGGCGCCCGGGGTCGCTTCCCGAGCCTCCCGCGCTCTCCCGGCTCGGCCGAGCGGGCGGAGGGCGGGCTGAGGAGCTGCCTGGAGGCGAAATGGCGGGGCGGGAAATACGCCTGGGCCGTGGGGTCTTCCCCGGGATAGTGCGGCGCCCCGGCCGGTTAGTGGGCCCTTCTGGGGAAAAGGAACCTGGAAAATCCCTTGATGCGCCTGTTGTGCTTCCCCAGCCCCTGGCGCGGGGGTGCGGAGTCTCCGCTGGCAGGGCTCGGCTGAATGGCGGCGGGCGGGATTAGTCCCCGCCAGTGTCCGGATCCCCCTTCTTCCCTCTGGTGGCGGCAGCTCACGGGAGCTGAATAGGAATCTTGCTTGGAAAAGTGAACGTGCTGGCATTGGGAGCCTTTCCAGACAGGAAGCTGCCCGAGACCGATTTCGTTTGTGAAGGATTAGATGCCTAAATAGTTATTGTAGGGGATGCTGAATGAGGCTGGAAAAGCTGGAAGACTTACGTGTGATGTTAGAGCTTGGGCCGAGACCGGAGAGTTCAGTGACTGATCTGTGCTTCTCAATCTGCTAGTGTTGGCTCCCTGAGTTTTTCCAAGCAGATTTTTCCATGATATCTTAAAGATCTAACATTCTTAATCACGTTTTGGGGGGGAGGAGAAAAAAGATCTCGTAACCTTTCTGTTCTGACAAGTAATCTCCAAGAAAACTCTCAAACAGTACAGTTATGCTGTCTGTCAGAACCAAGGTTCAGATGGATACCTTTTGAGTGAGGCTTTTGGGTTTTTTTTCTGCCCAGATTTTCTGCTAAAGGTGTTTCTCCTTTATAGCAGTGAAAAAAAGGATCGTGACTCAGTTGTTCCGGTTCCTGGATGAGTGCTTGGCCCAAATTGACCTTTTTTTCTCTGGGGTTTAAGATACAGAGTTGTGACCCAAGCTGTCCCAGTGTGGGATGCCATCCATGGCTCTTGCTCTGCGTGTGATGACTTCCAAGGAGCTGGCACACAGTGACAGCATCTTAATCCCCTGCAGCAGCATTCACTGGAAGCTTCTAATTTCATACTTTTCCTCTCCGTGCTCATGAAAAAAGCTTAGGATAAAGAAGACAGTATCTCTTGTAATTCTTTAATTCCAGGGCAGTTTAAACACCATTATGCTGCCGCTGGATCAGACTGTCTCAGCTGCTGTTTCTTGCCTGTGTGCCCCTCCTCTCCCATGTATCAGTGCAGTGCTCCGTGGATATTAACACGGGTCCCAGTACAGTGTAATTAGTTTTTGAATGGGGCTATTAAGTCCAGGCACACTGCCATGCTGATGTAGCTCTAATAATTCTGTTTCTAGGGCTACTCCCTCTGAGTTAGCATAGTTATCTCTCTTCTGTGGAACTGCATTTGTGTTCCTCATTAGCTTCTATTCTTGGCAAGTCTCTTAAATTGCTGGGTGACCCTTCATAACTGATTTAGTTGCAGTGACCTCATGGGCTCATTCATAGATTGAGTAGCACTGGTTTGATACAGGTGTTTGCTTTTCTTTTTATTAAAAAAAGCCCTCAATTAAAACTTAGTGTTAGGCAAATAGCTCATTCACAGTTATCTACAGGTAAAAGGTAATGCTCTAAAAAGCAGAGATGTTTAAAAATACACTTTTTGGTGTTTTAAATGTTTTTTTTTTCTTCTTTTTTATTCTCTACTATAGTTACAAATCAATGGTTCCTTCCTGCTGTAAGGGGAGATATTCCTCCAGGCTGTGCAGCACATGGATTTGTTTGTGATGGTACCAGAATACTAGTTTTTGGAGGAATGGTTGAATATGGAAGATACAGTAATGATTTATATGAATTGCAGGTAGGAAATGTATGAAAATGTTTCAGATTTGAGGACTACTATATTTATCTGTTTATGAACAAACACGTTTTATTTTACCAATGCAGAAGAAAGTTAGATAAGCTTTGCTCTGCTTCAGGAAGAATAAACTTGAAATAGATTCTGAAGATGGAGAAAATCCAAATGCCATTGAAAAAGAGACTTCCATGTAGTCTAAATAAAGTATAAAATATTTGGTGTTTTATTTGTTGGCTCATATGTATCCCTTTTAACATATGTCCTGAGAAAAGCCCAGCATTCCCTTAAAAATAATTCAGAAAATATAAGACTGTTAATATTATCTGAATTCTATTTACTGTGAGTGACTATAAATGAAGATATTTCTGAATATGTTTTCTTGTCTTCAAGGCAAGTCGATGGCTCTGGAAAAAAGTAAAGCCTCAAGCTCCTTCCAATGGATCACCACCCTGTCCTCGACTTGGCCATAGCTTTTCTTTATATGGTAACAAGTGCTATTTGTTTGGTGGCCTGGCAAATGAAAGTGAAGATTCAAACAATAACGTTCCCAGGTATGCTGATTTGCTTTGAATTTAATGGCTTTACAGACAGATGACTAGATGTGACAGCTTTGAGGAGGGCTGTTCTGTATACCAGGTACTTGCAGATGGATTGTTTGTGCAGTGGACGGGTTAATGCGAAGAAGCCTAAATATTTCTTCTGCTGATCCCACAGTATATAACACTGACTGACAGCTCTGACACTTTTGTAGGCAAACTTGAGTAGACTTTGGTATTTTTCCTAGTATTTTGGGTGATGATTTCAAGAATGGCTTGTTTGTTAGAATTACTTGAATCAGCCAAGCCTCATGAGTCATTAGGGAATTCATGATGGATGTTTCCTCTATATTGCTGTGGAAAATAGTTATGAATTCATCTGGAAATTTGTTACAGTAGCAGCTGAAGTTGTTTTTTTTGCCAGCAAACAGTGCTCTAATGCTCCAGCTTTATATCCACGTTCCTCTGCAGTTCAGAGTGCTAAGATCCACTGAGCTATAACCTGCCAATTTTAAGCTCAGTAAACAAGGGGTATCTCATGTGAATGCCAAGATTCAAAGACAGTTATCTAAAAAATAACTTGCTGATAGGTTCAGCAACAAGTGACTAATTGTTTATGCCAACCTGAAGGCACAAGAAAAGAAACAGCTTCTTCTCACCTTTGTGGCCTTGGAGTTGCAGAAATTCATCTCTAATGTCTCTGGTCATCATGTATTTCTCACAACTTTGCAGTTTATTCCAAGTGTATACATGTGGAGTAATTTCTGCAAAGAATGATGTTTACCCCTGTTGAATGTTTCCTTCATGTAATACAGTGTAGCAAATATTATATGAGAGCATGTTTCCTTAGAGGCACCAAATTATAATTGTTCAAGTTTTTTATTTTAAATCCAGTTTTGGTACTGTCTACAATGCATCAAATGTTTTGAGAGTTTAAAACTCTACACTCTCCCAGGACAGAAGTGTATAGTATTCGGAAGGGGACAGGGTTTAAAGTGCACTTCTAATTGTGCTTGTAAGTGAACTTTTCATACTTTTGACAATAATACCCTAGATATTTAAATGATTTCTATGAACTGGAGCTGCAACATGGTTCTGGCGTTGTTGGCTGGAGTATTCCTGTGACCAAAGGAATCTTGCCATCTCCCCGAGAATCTCACACAGCCATCGTATACTGCAGAAAAGATGTGGGAAGTCCAAAGATGTATATTTTTGGAGGGATGTGTGGCTGTCGGCTTAATGATCTCTGGGAACTTGACATAGGTGAGTTGATTTGCCAGAAGTCAGTGCTTACTGGCTGAGAGGAAAAGTTACAGTATAGAATGGTTAATGGCATGATGGGGTGCGGATATGATTGAGTCTAACACCATAGTGTTAACCCCTTGTAATTTCTGGAATTAAGTAGATACAGCATTGCTTGCATATAGTAGCCTCACTGATTATGGGTGAGATTGTTTCTTTGGAGAGTTCTTTAGAGTGGTTATCACTATGATAACCAAGCTATAACCATAATGAAACCATACTGTATCTTTCTGATAAACTGATAAACAGTTTGTTAGTATTTCCTTGTATTCCTTCCTGTTTTTTAAAAGAACCTCTAGGGGCTTGTTATTGCGCTTCTTAAAGTTGCCATCTGAAAAAGATGAAGTTTTGTTTTGCTTAATCTTAGAGGCATGTACCCTCCTAAAATCCAGGGAGTGGAGAAATGTGCAGTAACAAGGTTTCTTTGAGGATTTTTATTCTTTTTCTTTTAGAAACCATGACTTGGTCAAGACCAGAAACCAAAGGGACAGTACCACTTCCTCGCAGTCTCCATACGGCCAATGTAATAGGAAACAAGTATGTCTGTTGTTAAAAGCTCAACTCTAGAAAGGTACACCTAGTAGGGGAATCATGACACTTACCCACTACTGCTCAGTATAAACCATCAGCCCTGTAGAGTACTTTGCTGCTATTTTAAGTACCGCTGTTAACTGAAGGGTATCAAACCGTCATTGT